ACCAAACGAGAGCCTTCTTACCTCTGGTTCAGTGACCTAAATGGAAATAAATTTTCATTATGACCCTTAAGTCCAATAAGCCACATGGAACCTGCAACAGTAGTTTAAGGGAAATAAAATAAACCTGAATGTTACTACTGAGGTAACAGATTGAAACAAGCAAATGGCTCCACAGTAAAAATATACCACGCACAAAACCAAATGGATAAAATATCCCAAATCACAAATGGGCTAGAAGCCTTTTCCTGGAGGGCATCCTGCTCCAGTGCAGAAGGAGCCAGCCAAGCTCTTTTGCAACTTCAAATGACGCACTCAAATTAAAAAGAACAAGAGACCCAAATACTTAAAGATGGTTCAAGCCAATCGATTGGTGAAAAATAATGTGGGGAGGGGTCCCCATGTAATCCCGGATGAGCCCCCAAATGTTGTAACCCCCCAGAAAACAAGGCCCCATAGTGAAAAATGAGGCAAGACCCCTGAGATGACAAACAAAACAAGATGACTTCTTTTTTAAAAGAAGCGTTTTTATTTTAGCTGGCTCAGTGACTCAGTGCAGATGGAATTTGCAAAGCTGTGCAACTGAGTCAGAATTTTGACTGATTTTTATAGTTCCTTTATGATTAACTCATTGATCATTAAGTACATAGCAATGAGAAACAGAAACAAGGTGGGCCTTTGTTCCCCTTTACTTGAGGTCACAGGCATTTTACAGCGGGTGGTTAGCCAATTTATAGTCCTTTGTCTGCCAATTCCAGGAACATTTCTCTCAAAGAGAAAAAGGTTGACACAGCATCATTTGTCTCTTACAAGGGGAACAAAGATTGACACAGCAAACAGGTTCCTGGTGTGAGGGGGAACGCTGCATACAGGATGGGGGCTTGGAGGCATCTAGATACAGCATGACTACATGGTCAGTTAATCTATAACAAATTTATAACAATGTGGTTGGTACTCCAGGTACATGGTTACTAGGGCTATAAGCATAGAGCCTAACACCATACTTTTGTTTTAGCAGTTTAAAAACAAATTCCATATGACATGCTTGCAAGAGGGATACTACAAATTCTTGTTTTTTTCTTTCTTTGGAATCATACTGTCATTGTTCAGTTTCCTGTTGGGGACCCCTTCAGGAAGCCTCCTATCACCTGTTAGGTGTTTAGGCACACATTGATGGAGGAAGAAAGAGCAGGAAACAAAATGGCAGTACAGTGGGGATCCAGGATAATCAATTATTCACAGGAGGCAGCCAGAATTTGGCATTTATTGATTGAGGAGGGGATATCAGATGACTCAGGGGGATGAGGTTATCCTATTCTAAAATAGATCTTGCCCTGGGGTGTCTTTTAGTCTTAGTGGTTTTAGTTTCAGTCTTAATGAGTAAAAGAGGATGGCCTACCCCTAAGAGAATAGGAAATCACAGAAAGGTGATACTGTTAACCTCAAGCCTTCTGTGTTAGTTATTTTTGTTGCTGAGACAAAATTCATGACACCCAAAATTAAGGAAAGAAAGATTTATTTAGTTCAAGGTGGCAGAAGACAGCAAAAGCAACAACAAAAATTGGGAAGTCAAGCCTCTCTTCCTGCTTTATAATGTAAGCAGGCTACCCACCCTAGCTTGGGGCCTCTACCCTCTAAAATATGGAACTGCTGAGTCAGTTAAGCTTCTAAGCTTCGCAAATGGACATACTGTATCAACTATTACATCTCCATTTATCCCTAAATTTGCAAGATTAGCCATTATAAATCTGTGGTCCCCAACAGTTTATTATTATTGCCATAGTCACAAAGGTTTTGTCTTCTCTTAAAAAAAAGTGAAGCTTTTTAAAAAAGCTTGAGTAAATTATAATAAATTTATGATAAAATGTTTACTTTTCTACCTGTTATTTGAAAATAAAAACTAGACTTGATGTAAATGAGAATAATTATAAAAATGTTAAACTAATTAAATGTTTACTCTTTTCTGATTTTATATACTTTATATTGGAGTTGAAAATTTCAAATATCATAGAATTTAAGGAGGTCCTACTGCCATGCTATAATAGTAACAATAATAATTTCTCTACTGGTAAATTCAAATTTGGGAGTCTACTGAGAATTTTCTAAAGATTATTTTTAAAACATGGTTAAACTATATTATTTATGTTGATGACATTTCAGATTCAATATTTTGATTTTGATTTTGAAGGAGCAGGATCACCTTTAATTATTGTTTTCTTTATTTATACCTAAGTGATTAATTCTGGGGTCATATTAGAAATATTTTTAAAGGCCTTCAATTTTTTCTTCTTAGAAATATAAAATTGTTTTATTATAACTTTCGTTACTGTTAGTCAGAATTAATCTGCCTTAGTTACTTTTATCTCCTGGCTGGGACAGAATACCCAGCACCTTAAATTAAAGGAGAAAAGGTTTATTTAGTTCACAGTTTGTACAGGTTTCAGTTCATATCAGCAGGCTCTAAGGCAGGGCAGTGCATGGCAGAAGGATAACAGTTCATGGTGGTAGAAGACAGCAAAAGCAACAAGACCAACAAAGGAAACCAAACTCTTTCTGTCTGTTTTATTTTTTCCTGATTTCAGGATAACAGCCGTGCTGATCCAATCAGTGTAATAATCCAGGAATCAACCAACTTTATTCCCAGCACTCTGAATCCCAGCATTACACTATGAATCAATCACAAACTTTCACTTACATCTGAAAAAACTTCATTCAAAAGTGCATGAGGCTTTGGCGGAGTGGGGGCTTGGAGGCATCTAGATTCAAACCATAATACAATCCTACTGGATAAAATACATCAAAGGATGTAAGGGTCTCTTCTTTATCATAATATACTATCCAGGCATTCATTTACAAGCTAGTGTCTATTATATGCTGTGTCCAGTATTGCCAAGATGAGCAGGAAGAAGAGGGTAAACATTTAGGAATGTTTACAGCAATATGACATTTTCTTCCCTACAATCTGAGAAAATTTCTTCATCATGATATCAAGTAACTAGCGTGTCAAGCAGAAAGTACAAATTATCTACTGCTATCACCACCAAATATGCGAATTTCTGGCAAAACTTTCAGTGATATAAAATAATCACTCTGTAAATTCTTGAAAGTTTAAAAATGTAACTAATTATAGTCAACCCTGTAAAGTATATTAGGAAACAGTTTAAAGCTCTATGTCACTATGGCTAATATAATGTAACAAAGACCACTTTGCCTTTAACTTCTCTTCAATAAATTTTTCTCTCTGTAGTTTTTCCTTTCCATCCATCTGGCATTAAATATTTTAAAGTAATTTATCTAATAATTTGTTTCATTCATATTTCTGTTTCTAACTGGATTTCTGAATCATGAAATGTGTACCATTTTATACATGGCAGCCTTGATCTTGAAGACATTTTGCTTAGTTTACTTAAACATCTTGATTGTTTTATATGACATAATATTTCTCAAATTTGCAACATTTATTAATAGGTTTATCAATTCTTTTCATATATCTATTTTTTGATTATTGGCCTTTTACACTATCTGTGTTTAAGTGCATATTATACCTTGTTGATAGGAATTGTGATTATGTTCCCAAATGCTTTTTAAGGTGGAAATGTCTAGTATGGTGATGTTAGCTATTAAAGAAAACTGAAAAGATTAATCATGCCTTGGAAGATCTTTTATTTATATTAAATTTAGTCCTACTTTGAAGCTGCTAATGTAGAGTATGCGAATTAGTAGAAACATACCTTGCATTTATAAACCATCTTGGGATGGATATTTTACTTTTGCCTTTCAGATACGCTTTTGCTCCTTCCCTCATTTGTCTGTGCCTTCTGTTCTAGTCTGATTTAGCTAACAGGAAGCCAGACTAGCTGATAGACAAGAGTGTGAATGGAGATTGAAATCAGAGTTCCTATTCTGCAGTTCCTTCAGACTGGTCATGTCTATTTAATCAATAGCAAAGCATTTAATTTTTTTATAGGAAAAATGTTTTAACTGGAAAATTACAAGAAAAATAGGATAGAACTCCACTTTAGCTTCATACTGGCCCACTTGCAAAGACCAAAACCCAGCTTTTAAAATTTCTTCATATATCACTTTGCGGTACAAAATGTTTACATTTCTTGTGGGGAGTTGGCACATATACATGAGACATCTTCATCTCTCTTCCTGCCCTTCCTCTCCTCTCCCTTCCCTCTCCCTTGGTCACTGCATTTGAGTATACCCTGTTTCCTGACCAAATCTGCTGTGATATAAATCGTGAGTTTTTAAACAGTTTTATTAAAAATGGAATGCAAAATCATTAACTATTAACATGAGTACTTATTTCATTACTTGATTTTACCAGTTAAATACTTCACTAACCACAATAGCATGTTTTAGTTTTGATTATATATTCATAAAATATGATCAGATATTCTTCAAAAGGAAAATAACTCTGGATATGAGGGCAAGTTAAAAACACATAATATATATAATAAAAGGGCAAGTAGGAAATTACCTTAAAATAACAAGGACATATTGGTCTAACAATGATTGCAAGCAATGATATTCAGTTTCCTATAGTCCAAGCTGTATTATAACCTACTGACATATATTGAACTATTTATTTCTCACATTTACTCTATGAGGAGACATTATCCCCATTGTACAAGTGAGGAAACAGGCCCAGAGAAGTTACATAGATTGGTTACTCTTTGTATAATTTATTCTCCTAGCCATGGTATTGTCCTTACAATGGTTTTGCTAATAAAACTGCTAAATTATAATCAAAAATAGATATGAATGAATATGTCTATAATAGCAACATAGTAGAAAGCATGTGGATTTTGGCAGCAAAGTTAGGCTTGACTTCCAGGTGTCAGTTTAAATTGAAATTTAAATGCTTTCCTAATAATCTGTTATTAATCCTGATTTTCACTGTTGCTCCCTTTTCCAAAAATCATGAGTTTGCATGATGTATATCATTAAGTACTGTGAGTGAATTTCTATTCTAAAATAAATTTTATATTTTTCTTCAGGTTATTGATCTGTAACCATGTCTGTTAACAAATCACCTGCAGTTAATAAATGTGGAGTAACATCTTCCCCTTATCATGAAGAATTCTTGAAATTTCATTTTCCAAATGAAAGAGAGAGTCATAAATCAAGGTAAGTAAAAATTGTATTATTAAAGTAGGGAAGCCATGTGCAGTATAGAGAATTTTGGAACAAAAACTAAAAAAGATTAAAAATTGATGATGGAAATAGGAGACTTAGAAAAGAGCAGGAGGATCAGGATGGAAAGCAGTGGGAGGGAGAGGAAGGTAATGAAAATGATCAAAGTATGTTGTGTGCATGTACGAATATGCTAAAATCTGTATATTTAATATGTACTAATTTTTAAAATGTGAAAGAAAATTGTGAAAAGGAAAAACAAATCATAGCTCTCTAACTAAGGGTAAACATGTTCAGTTGTCCTATGTTTTCAACAACTTCATTCATTGTAATGTGCATCTATTTTCCAGAATTGTGGATTATACAGTTACTGTATAACTAAATACAGAAATCTGTATAATTTTCTTTCTATTTGAAATAAGCATTTTTCTATGTACATATATATTTTAACTTGCCATAGGAATGAATAAAATAGCATAAGATACAGTGTTTAATAACTGCCATCGTGTGAAGGATTTTAATTATTTCTTAGTCCTTTCCTATTTTAAATTTAGCAACAGCAGCATAATTTGCTATGTCTCAAATTATTTCTTCCTTCCTTCCTTTCCAACTCAATTTCCTTTTTGAATACTTTTCCTATTTAACAATACATTGAACATTTTTGTTCTTACTTACATTTTGGTTTCTCACACCAGAGACATAATGCAATATTGGTTTATTTTTTAAAAAATATTAAGATAAAAGAGGACATAACACAAGTCAGAACAGAACAATTTATAACACAGTGTTTCACCACAAGACAACCCGACATAACAGTAGCTATCATATGTCTCTTTCCTTGAAATATTTGAGTATACTTTCGTATACTATAGTATCAAACACAAAAGGACAGTGTAAAACCATTCAAAAGAATGAAAGTATTCTAGGGTATTCAGAACCAACTAACAGAAAATGAACAATGGTTTCTATATTATCTCCTGGTCTATAAAAATTTTGTTCATAATGCAGTATTTACACTTGTACCTGATTTCTGCTGTCACCTTTAAATGCTACTAGCTGTGGACATCAGACACTAAATTGACTACCTGTGCTTTCTTGACCAACAGTCTCTGTGTGTCGTGTCTGAAGGTTTAAGTGAAGTAACTCAGACACACAAGCTTAAATATCACCTGCTGTCTTTTATGTGAAATCTCAATACATGTATAAAATATGAAATAAACGACAGATAACAGTGAAAAAGAAAGAAACAAGGATATTGTAATCTAGTGTGGACAATGAATCTAAAAGTGTACTTTGATTTGGTTAAGTTTTCTTACCTGCTTTATATATTCTTTGACCTATTAGTCTGGTTTTCATTCTGTATATGTGATAATTTAATTTATAAGTTCCTATAAGATAAATAAATGAATCAGATGCTGAAAAAATAAAAAGGAGATGGAAGAAGGAGAAAAAGAAAGGGGACTGAAATATGTTACGCACTTGTGTCAGTTCCTTACAGTGAATGCAATCATTATGTACTGCAAACATATACTAATAAAAGTTTTAAAATGTATTAGGATATTTCTCAGCAAAAGATTTTTCTTCCTTGTTTTTTCAATTGATTATGAAAATAGCATTCTATCTAACCCCATGAGGACGGGGAGAGGAGAGTGGTCTCAGTTATGATTTTTACCTTGAATATTTCATCAGATGACGTAGAGAGATCTACTGTAAGCTTCCCATACCTTGACTATCCTGGGTTCTTTCTACCACAGAGTCACATAGAAAACACACTTGCTTTTTTTGCTGTCACTCTCTTCATCAAGAGAAACCAGATATTTGACCTGAAGCAGGGTTCTACTTGCACTAGGAATGTTACTTTGTGTTCTGTTATCTGTAGCATGAATATTTTCTTAAGCTTCATATTCAGTGCCTTCACTTGTTCCTCCTCATAGCAAACTGAGGGTTTGCAGTCTCAACATGCACTGAAATCCATTAATTATGCATTACAGTCTATGCAATTCTGGAGCAAAGAAAATCACAAAAATTTGCAATGCATTACTGGTTCAGAGCATGTTACTTTGTGACAATTTTGTTTGATAATTAAGATTATTATTGTATGCGGTTTCCCACAGTTTTGCTACTTCAGTCAGAGATGAGACAAAATTTTGAAGGCAGACATGAAGCATACACATTTATTTTAGGTGATTAAAAAAATTAAAATGGAGTATCAAACATTAGGAAAATTTAGTTGAATAGATATTTTATCTCTTTTTTTTCACAGAAACTTCAATATTTTTTATATTTGGGTGAATGTGGTCCTCATGGCTTCCTGAAATGTTAATAAGCCTGAAATTTTTCCTTTGTCTTAATGTTGTTGACGCTTTTATATGTGTAAAGTATTCTTTACAAATCTATGCTCTAAATACTTTAAAATAGTATATTTGTCCTATATACACATTTATAATACAAGATGCTCTGTAGCTGCCAGGATCAAGAAAAACTTTTATAGACTAATATTCTGGTCATTTGTCTGTTTGAGGTATAGTTTGTCTTTCTTTTATCTGAATTATTATAACCTTTAAAAGAAATTTAAATGATTAGGAACTTGCAATCGGCCTGTTCATTTCAGCCTGAGACATTTATACTTGTGGTGTTTGGTGTTGGTTACAAATAGCAAAGGCACAGATAGAGCATTTTAGGAGCTGGGTAACTCATAGAGCTTGAACACTTTAAGTATATTGTAATGTGTTTTCCTTTACGGTTTATTGTTCCCAATGCAAGATCAGCAATTACTCATGTGATCATGTGTACAAAGTAGGCAGTTTTGCAAGTACTTGGAAACCAAATGCTCATATACTTTGGTTTATAGCAATTCTGAGTCTTGGCCCACACCTCTAGAAGGGAGAATGTGGTACAATAATTAAGATAATAATATTCTTCTAGGAGTATGCAGGGTCAATGCGAGTGAAGTAAAGAAAAAGTTTACATTTGGCAATAAACTTTGGGGTATGACCAACATTATACTAAATAATGACTTGCAAATTTGCAACAAAGAATCATAGCAGCTATGTAGGCATGATTCCTCTATTCTCTTCTGTCTTTTGTTTGATACATAGTCAACCATTCAATTTGTTGATACATAGTCAACCATTAAGCTTCCTTTGCTGCTGGATGTGGTCATGGATGTAATTTGGTCAGTTATGGAATAATTTATCTCCGTGTCCTTCCTTCTACCACTTGCTTTTAGTTTGCAATAGCAATGTGATTGCAGCAGTTATAGATGACACCTTAGGTGTAAAATGGAAGATGTATGTGGAAAATAATAGAGTAGCAAGATGTTTTAAAAATCTGAATTTCTAACACTGTGGGGCTTTCATGTTATTTCTGGAATTTTGTCTGCTACATGAAAAAAATAAGTATCTATCTCGATTAGTTTAAAATTATGTTTTCCTTTTTGTAGCAGTTAAACTAATTTCCTGATTATGAAAAAAAAAAAAACCTTTCTGGGTATTCTTTGAGATTCAGTTTGTAGACAAAATCCTACAAACTATGCTTCACATCAGCTTTATTCTGCTGCTGAATGATTTATTTATGGGGCAACTGAATAGAATTAGATTTATTTGGGGATTTTTGATCTGGTTAGGTTAGTAGAGAAAGTTTGTTTGTAGTGACCATCATCAAGGGACTTGCATCCTCAAATTGAATTCTGGAACTGGCTGATTCTTACAACTTTCTAGCAGAAAACCACATTATGGAAAGACAGTAAGCATTGCCAAATTTCTTCTCCATTTCCTCCTTGTAAATATCCTACCCATTTCTGTCAATGTCTTCACTTTTGAGTGTTTTCATTGCTATTTAAAAAATCATTAGTTTGATATAATGTATTTGTTTACTTATTTTGTTGTCTATACTTCTGGAATCCTATTAAAAAGTCTGCCTATTCTAGTGTTTTTAAATGTTTTTCTTATTTTTCTTCTAATAGTTTCATGGTTTAAGGTCTCATGCTTAGGTTTTTGATTTGTTTTCTGAGAAATAAAGATTTAGTTTGTTTATTTTTCACATGGTATCCAGTTTCCTTACCACTACTTATTGATGAGACTATTTTTTCTCTAATGTATGTTCTTGGTGTCTTTGTCAAAAATTATTTGGTTGTGAATGTATGGATTTATTCCTAGGCTTTCTATTCTAATCCATTTGTATACATACATGTCAGCTTTTTTCCCCATATATTTTAGAGTAAAATTTATGAATCACTGATTTTTCATTTCCATTGAATGACAGGAAAAAATGCAGAGATAAAATATTTGAAGATCTTTCCCTAAACAAAAGGATACAAGTGAAGTTTATTTTGGGTAGTTAAAGACAATGATTTGAATATTTACTCTTGTGCCAACCAATTAACCAATTAACCCTTATTGCGATTAATAATTGCATTTCATGAAAGATGATTTTGAACTTTAGAACTCTGTGGTTTAGGTTATCTTAGGGATAACCTTGAACTGACCATTGACTGTTAGGAAATGCACAACAGAGTGTTTAAAAATGTAAGAACAACATTTAGAAAATTAAATAGATTTTCTTATTCTAAATATTTTCAGCCATCGATTTGAATCTGAATATACTTTTATTCATAATGCAGTGAGTGTCAACAGTGTATTCTCTCCTTATCTGTGTGGAATTCCCTTTATTATTAGTTACTACTAAGTCAGAAGATTTATATTTTAGCATTAATAATAGGACTGTATTCCATTTTTTAAGACTGAATGAAAAATTAGAAATTAAAAAGTACACAAGGACTATCAGAGGACTGCATTAACCATTTATATTTTTAGTAATAAATATGATGTCTCCATTTCTGGTTTCATACCATAAATCCTCAGTTGTGGAGGGAAGGAAGAGGATATTTCCAGAACTTGATGTAAAAAACCCAAGCCCAAGTTCAATACATTCGAAGTAATAAATTAAGGCGATGTGTTCACAGAATACATTTCTACACATGCCTGCATCATCAA